GGGTCGCGGGGGGGGGGAAGGCACCTCCCCTCCCGCTGCCCGCGCAGGGAAGGGCGCGCGCCGCCGCGCATGCGCAGAAGTGCGGGGGGAGGGGGCACCGGCCGCGGCCTAGCGGGGCCGCCCGACCCGTGGCAGGAACAGCGACCCCCTCCCCGGCCACGCGATTTATCCGGGGACAAACAGCGGATCGGGCACCGCAGATCGATAACCCGCCAGCGAGCTTCCTCCACCCCCCTGCACAGGCATACGACTGGGCAGAGCCTCAGGGCAAGCGGGAGCACTTTATCTCTGGGAAGTAAAAAGAACCCAAGTCCCTCGGCTTTCCAGGAAACAGAGGGGGCCGGACACACACATACACTTCAAATTAACTATCCGGCTGCAGATGTCATAGAATCCATCTCGAAACGTTCTTTTAGACTGTTAGCTGTGGCCAGGGTGCTTTCATAAATATTAAAATGCATGTGATTGCAAGCAGGGCCTATTTTTATCTTTCCGAATTCCACCCCGGGTCTAGTAAAGCGATTTAAAGGTCACCAGGAAGCGCGCCAGTGCACCACGGGACACGGCTGCCCCTTCGGAAAGTGCAGGTGTGACAAATGTCCGGCACCTGGAGTGACTGGCCCTGCTCATCTTCCCTGCTCCGTTACCTTCAGGAATAACTTGCACGTCTTGCTGCTACCTGTGGCTTTAAGCACATACGAGATAAGAGTCGGAGCGTAAATATAAGCAGCCATATTGCCCGAGCACATGAAAACAACACACGGAACAAGCGCCCTAACAACACCCTCCCTACGTGGCCTCCCACCTTCTAGCGAGCTGTGGTTTAAGACTTTCATGTAACAAAAATAACTGTATTTGACAGTTACAGGCATTTTATTTGCATTTTTGGTCTATTTATGCTCCTAGTTTCTAAAGCACTCTGTGACAATCAGTTTCACAATTTAAATGTAATTTTAAACACTACCTGAAAAGTAGTTCCCTTGGCTTGAAACATGCAGACAATAAAGAACAAGGGGGCAACTAAAAAGTGAATTATTAGAAATGGTAAATAATAATTTCCCATCCACTTTTTTTCCTATATTTTCTGGACCTTAGTATCTTCTCAGTCACCATTTTTCTAAGTCAAAAGCAGTCTATCTACTTCTTTAAAAGCACTTCCACACTTCTGATAATCCTTGTCACACTTAAGTTTGCTGCACACAGAATGCAAAATCTACCCCTTATTTAAATTTGCATAATGAAAGCAAAATGGTGGTTTTGTTTTGCCTTGTTTCCTAACGATGGCTCTTCCCTTTTTTGATTGCTGCTAAGATTGAAGCAAAGTTTTCAGAAAACAGTACTAGGTGATTTCATGACTAGCCCTCACCTAAGTTAGGCCTATGCCTTTTTTTCTTACGTACACCCACAGCTGTTTCTTCTTTACAAATGTTGCTTTTTACATAACTCCACACAATTTCACCTAAAGAAACCGAACCTCTCTCAGTCTCCATGTAGTCTGCACACATCTAAACTGCAAGAAACTTCAATTTCCTCTTTGAAAAAAACAACAAGAAGAAACTTCCGTATTTTTGTGTTTCATCCTTTTAAAGTAAACATTTTTTTTCCTCCTTGTTCTCTTCCTTGAGCCAATATACGCAATGTAAAACAGAGGCCTGTAGAGCTGTGTACCTATCAAACTGAAATCTGTGTTTCCTGGGGCAACATGAAATTCCAGAATCCCTAAGCAGTGTTGCTTGTGCTTAGTAAGGAAGGAAATCTGCTTTCATCTCCAAAGACCTTCAAAAATTTGTAAACTGGCAGCTACATCCAGACAAAATCTTTTAAGTTGCATTTCTAACCAATGTCCTGGCACTCCTATTGTCCTCAAAAACCACCAAGTCACACGGCATTTTCGCGAGCAAACTTACATCACCGGCTAAGCTAAACCAAACTCCCCAACTGCACACTAACCCTTTCAGTGTAAACAGTCATCTCCGCCTGCTAGCAAACAGCCGGCCCTGCAAGGTCAAGTGCTAGAACTTTCCCCCGCTCCACCCCTCCTGCCAAAGCCAGCCCTCTCCCCTCCTCAGGCCGCAAAAAAAAATAAAAAACACCTCACTTCAGGGTGCTTAAAGGCGGAACCTTCCCAGCAAACCTCCCCAGCACCGAGCCCCTGCTAAAGAGTGTTTTTTTTTTTCTTTTTTTCTTTTTTTTTTCCTTTTTATTGTGCGCTGCGCGGCCCCAGGGCGGTCCCGTCCCGTGCGGACACTGAGGCGGCAACTACCTCCCCGC